TATAAGAACACGCAACCTTCCTGATTACCAACCGACCACATTGGGTCTGATCTCCATATGTAGCGAGGCATTCGTGCCCCATATCTTGTGACCCCCTGGGGTTCGCTACACTGTGAACCACTCAAACACTATAAAATGAGATGTACTTCCTCTTCAAAGGCCTGTTGTAGGCATTCAAGACTTTCCTTTGTGCACTTTTGTGACAAAAGTCCACTTTCAGAGTCAGAAAATCATTGCTCAGAAATGTTCACCTTTGAAATTAATCTTGAATGCAGATAATCCCTAAACATGAATGATAAAAATTATAAAACCAGTTCAATGCAATGATGAACTCTGACATTTTTTTTTAAGGCTTGTACTGATTAGTCTTTCCTGGGATACAATTTTGCAGTTTGGGAGGTGGCATCAGCAAGCTGCTCCAGATAATTTCATATCAGATGTTGTTCCAAGAAAAACCAAGTTGCATAAATCCCATGCCATGAGTGAGCCTCCTCTGTCTTGTCAGATGATACAGCCAAATCTATCTGGGATATGTGGAATGAATGGGAAAGTGGATGTGGATGTATGATGAGAGGGTGAGTGTGACAGTCTATTGTTGGTGCAAAGAAGAGTTGATCATTCACTCTACTGTCTTGCTCTATGGGAATTTGGCAACGTTAAAGTAATATCTTCACAAAAAAGACATTTTTATTTGATGTGGGTTGTGGTATAAACTTTGCAATACTTGGATCCTAACCAGTGAGAATAAGCTTCATACTCACATACTTCATACACAAGCATATCAGCAATTACAAATTAATTTAATCTAAGCATAAATTCATCCTGCAAAACTAATGATTTGTTAAAAGTTATTTCAGATAAGCTTTTCAATGAATCCAAAAGTGGGATAGGTGAAAAAGGGTTCAAATGTTTTCTTACCTGATTTTGTGCAGTCTTCTTGAACCAAGAGGAAACTATTCCAGTGAAATGGAAAAGTTCCAGTGCCACCATGACTGTGATGGCAATTACTAGAATTGGATCACAATAAATTACAGTCAGAAAGTTGGTCAAGTCACAGCTTATTACCTGAGGGTAATTTGAGTTTCCACACATGAAAGTGTAATACTCATGCCTAAAATTAACTTGAAACAAGCTTAATGAGATCACATATGAGAAAATTTGTTTTCATGAATGAGCCATGATTATCCATGCAAGTTAATGAGAAAAAAAAAACAAGATATGTGACTACCACTGTCTCAACCCTTTCCCTGGCAAGGATATATGAACAATTTGGCATAAAATTACACTGACAAAAGGAAAAGAGATAAATTTTATCTATAAGTTCTAAGGAGAACAATTCAGAGTACCATTAGTTGCAGCATCAACACATGATGATTAGTCATTTAATTCAATCAATCATTTAGTTCTTTTGATTCCAGGGTAGATCTCTCTGTTGACACCCACTGCTTGAAGGTAACATTTGGTTATCATCAATCGACCAAATCTTTTTGGAGCTGAGCTTTGATTGCCTCTGTACCAAAGAGTGATGACACAAATACCAGTAACATTCACCTGAGCTGGGAGAGTATTGGAGAGTTTTGAAAATGAGAATGTCAACAAAATTTATACAAACCCCAAGCTAAAACTTCATAGAGTATTATGTCCCAGAGATTTCATAAATTCTTTCAAACTCTAAATGGGTTATTTTCTGACAACATGAGGTGGTCAAAGGTCATCAACATGACTTCACCCAAAGTTAACTTTCAGCCATAACTTCCTCCAAGCAATGGAAAGGGCTTGAAGAGTTAACAAATGAGTCAATTATGACAAATTTTTCAAGGGGAGACTGTATCAGGTCAGTTGCTCAAATGTTAGAATAAAAAACAGGGTGAATCGAAAGTCATGCCCACCTTTTGATAACTTTGATGATAACTGGTTATGGTGATAACTTTTATGTGTCAGACTGTACACAGATCAAGTTTATATCAATTGAAAGGCCAGAATATTCTTTATCTAGAGATATATGTTTGCACACTGTTTTGTCCTTCACATTTTTTCCTGATTTGGAAATGAAATTCCCATTTTGGAGATTCTTAAAATGCATTTCAAACCTGGAAAGGTGCTTGCATGCTTTGGCAACACAATTTCAATTTTTTAATATTTTATTGGAGAGAAATGACTGACTATTAATAAGCATGAAGCAGATGTTCAGCTTTGTGCCAATTATGACCAGAAGGCAACAAACTGCTGAAAAATGTGAGGAAATATTTTATGGAGGAACCCTTAGCCTACAGTCGGATCATCCCTCATCTCCTTAAACTCTTTCTCTTTATAACAATCATACCACACACCAGTGGTATGATAGCTATAACCTTCCAGGCCAGTCACAACTGTCTTTATCTAGTTTCACGTATACAATCATAGTTCAAAGAAGTGGGTGGTGAATTTAGAATCTATAGAAAGAGATGCTTTGTGCCAGTGTGTCGCAAGAGAATTGTATGTTGCCTCCTCCTCCATTCAAAAAATGCAGATTGTGCATAGACAGCATGGTTTCTAGACTGCAAATAAATGATGATCCATGGAAGATATACCTGTTCAAAGGGAAAAATCCCCCATTTACAAGATAAAGTAGGCCCCAGACCTACATTTTCCTTTCGCCAGTTAGTTAGAGAACTGTTTAACTGTCCACTAAAGTTAGAAGTTTGCGCATTCGAATATAAAGGAGCTCTAAGTTAGAAGGAGGGTGTGCATTTGAAAAAGGACTCTTCAACTTAACCCTTGATTAAGCTAGCAAATGTTTTTGTTGAGGTGAGGTTGTGCATTCTCATAAGAGCTCTTTAATTTAACACATTGACCACCATGGCCATATTGGACTGGTGCCTTTCCTGGGCCAAAATAAAATTTTACATCCCTCAGAGAAGGTGAAGCATGGGGCGCACCAGTGTGCCCCATGGCGCAGGAAAAGGGACTGAATGAGGCGCACCGGTGCGCCCCATGGTGGCGAACCTCTTAAAGGGTCCCTTATCTCCCCTAAATGAGGTTTGTGCATTTGGGTCATAATGTCCTTGGGTTTCATATTATATCAGGTTGTAAAGGTGAAATACAGGGAGATACCCTGGAATCAAAAGAACTAAATGATTGATTGAATTAAATGACTAATCATCATGTGTTGATGCTGCAACTNTAGGTGTATAAGTAGAGTGACCAGTGGGCATTGTGGACGTGAGTGAGATGTGATTGATATTGATGGTGATTACCGGCTCTCTACCGGAACTCTAGTCGTTGTTGAGTTAATTGTCAATAAATTGTTTTCTTGAAAATGTCTAAATTTCACCTTTACAACCTGATATAAGCTGCATTCCAATCCAATCATTCAGTCAGGGGTTATTACCAATCAAAAGGTGGGCAGGACTTTTGATTCTTGTATGCATAGAGTTTCACTCAAACCTGAGGAAGTGACATGAAAAAAGTACTCCTAGTGTAATAATATGATGCAGAACCACCCAACAACAGACCTGCCAAAATATGATTCGTTGTCATGTCTGATTTCAGACTAATCAGCTGAGATTCTATGTTTGCCAGGCGTGACTGGAGATCTGGAAGCTGGGATTCCACATTTGCCAGGTGTGACTGGAGATCTGGAAGCTGAGATTCTAAGTTTGCCAGGCGTGACTGGAGATCTGGAAGCTGGGATTCCACATTTGCCAGGTGTGACTGGAGATCTGGAAGCTGGGATTCCACATTTGCCAGGTGTGACTGGAGATCTGGAAGCTGAGATTCTACGTTTGCCAGGCGTGACTGGAGATCTGGAAGCTGGGATTCCACATTTGCCAGGTGTGACTGGAGATCTGGAAGCTGGGATTCCACATTTGCCAGGTGTGACTGGAGATCTGGAAGCTGAGATTCTACGTTTGCCAGGCGTGACTGGAGATCTGGAAGCTGGGGTTCTACATTTGTCAGGCGTGACTGGAGATCTGGAAGATGGGATGATATGTTTGCCAAGTGTGACCAGAGATCTGGAAGCTGGGATTCTATGTTCACCAGGCGTGATTGGAGATCTGGAATACTTTCATTTATACACAGTGGAATCTTCTCGAGATTCAATTGGTCCCACTTGGGCAAGAAGCTTGACCTCAGGAAAAGGTGCTTCCTCTCTCCATTCTCTCCTTCTAAGTAACCCTGCCCAAATGATCACAAACACGTTCAATATTTCATCTCTCCTACATCTTTCATTGCTGCCATGCAACTACTTCCATCTCCAGCAGGGGCTCCTAACCATTACTGCAAACCATAGATGTAGCTCCCAGAAGGACTAGAAGGGCCAGAAATATCTCCCCAATCACAAGTTTACTCAAATTCACATCCTTCTGTGCATCAATGAATGCCAATCACTAAATTAATCTCAGATGGGAGCTCTAGCTCTGTTCAACAAGGGCACCATCAATTAAGAAAATAATTTCATTCTAGCACACATAATTTCTGCTGGGAAAAAAAGCTGAACAATTACTGGGGCAGTGAAATGTTAGCAGCTGGTTGGGAATGAACAGAAAAACATTGAAATTTGCTTGTGCTTCATCCATCTCCATGGCAAAAGCTGCAGTCAAACATGGGCTGTAAGAATGATCGTAATTTAAGTGTGCTTCAGGTGATGAGCAATGGAGAAATCTTCAGCGGTTTTGTTTCTTTCTCTGATAGGTTGAGCACAACCATCTCATCCTACTGGTAAAGTCCTACATTACTATTTTAATGATCTGTTATTGTTTCCATTCATTTTCTTTGTCTTCTTCTTTGATGCTAATGACAAAATCTTCTCAGCTCTGGGATATATCAGAACATTATACTTTTTGCCCTAGTGTCCAAAATTCTGAAAATTTGAAAATTTTGATAAATTATTCAATGCATATTCATCGGAGTAGGAAATCCAGTTTCAATAAGTGTAGACATATATGAAAGTCTCACAGAAGCAAGTATTGCCTTGGTGTTGTCAATGTGGGGTTGAGATATGTCTGGTTCGAATTCCATTCTCATCACAACTGGAAACTCATACACCGTCACCCCTGGAATGCGGATCACATTTTTGCCATGGCACACTGGAAAATCATGCTCCCATTTCAACTGATGTGAAACTACCTGCAAGAAAGTTCATGATTTAGCAGTAAACTGTCACAAAAAAAGCAATAATCAGTGCAGCCCTTAGTTGATTCACAATTATATTAACCTTAGTATTGATGGCATTTTTTTTAGGCTGGATGAACTGTATTTGTCATCTAAAAGAAAACACCAAAGTTTTGATTAATCTTTTAAAAAATTTGGCATCAGATCTCATCATAATATATGATGAAACCAAGTAATTTTTCCAAGTCAAAGAGCAATTCTCTACAGTGAAAACTTACCGAATACTTGTGGGTAAGTGGGGTAAAAGTTCCATCCATGTCAATTGAACCTCCCATCATCATTCATGTCATATGACTATTTTACCATTCCCAATTGCATTTGTGAAACAATGCTGACATGATGGCCCCTATTTCAAAATCAACATTCATGAAGAGCATCCAAACATGCTACAAGGACTCCTAATATGATTGATACTCTTCACACAGTAGCTCACACACCCTTCCCAGCAGAAATCTATAAAATTTATTTTGCTTTCTTTTTCAAGTTTTGCTTTTATTAACATTGAAATTCAGAGCATGAACCCTCCATGGCCTCTGCAGTTAGGGGCCATTAGGGTGCCTGCAACAGAAAATTGCTGTAATAAAATTCCCTGCAAACTACTATGAGGTTTTACATCAAACACAGATTGCATTTATGTGCAAATGAGCATCCTATATGCACAAAATTCCAAAAAGGCACACAAAAGAAAAACATTGGGGTCCAAGTATGTAGGGAATTTCCTTGATTTTCTCAAACCAGGTTTCAGTCCAGTCTGTAGTTGCCTCTTAGAACCATGCCTAAATAAACCCCATGTGCCACCTCATTGGTGGCAGGGGGAGGTTGAAGTGAAGCCCTCGCTGAGCACGACATTAACCTTACTCTTGCTGCATTGATTATGATGTCATAATGTCACCACTGCTTGATTTTTTTGCACACTCAACCTTGGTGACATAGTCCTAAACATGTGGCTCCATCTCCTTCATTATCCATTGTAACATAATAAAACCTATATCTAGCATCATGAGAACAACCTCCCCTGACTAAAACACCTTTCAGATATGCATACTGAAATTTGGAATATACCAGGATCCTCATTCTGTGAAGTCAGTCTGGCACCTGGAATATTCCGGGTATCGCAGTACTAGTGTTAGAGTGATGAGCATGGCCCTAGTTGCATGTGTTCATGCATTCATGACATAATTCCATTCCTTTAATTATGGTCTGAGGTAGGCTAGAGCCAACACACTTCTCTTCCGTTTTCAACGTAACAAATTAGTTCTTGCCAATCACTTGTTGGCATGCATTCAGATATTCCTAAACATCACAATAGGACTAGAGTCATAAAAAAAGGTTATCAACAGCTTAGTCCTAAACAAAGATCATATCTTTGTTTCACTTAAGAACACCCAGGGAAAGGAAAATCACCTTAGCCTTGACCTAGTCAAAGTAATGGGAAAGAGATGGATGCAGGTGATGATGATGGTAGCTTGTGAACTGTAAATCACAACAAAAGAGAATATAGGGAGAAAAAAAAAAGGAGGAAAAATTAGTGAGGTCAACATGGCCTTCCTAAAGAGATAAAAGAGCTTCCCAGGACTTTTGCTCAAATGCAAATATGATAAATCCCTACACAGCATCAGGCAATTGTGATTCGTAAATCTGAAGATGCCCAGGGGATATTTATGTCAAAGAGAAAATATTTTCAAGTAGTCCTAAAGCTACTGGATTGAATATAATGCTGTTTGGTCATGTAAAATCAATGAAAAAACATTGACTGCTGGGCTCGAACTTTTTGTGCACCTTTGCAAGATTTTATCATGCCTCATTTGTAATGGGATCAGTGGTAGTTTCAAGGAGAGGAGTGACCATCCCATAGCCATGTTCACATTAATTTTTTAAGGGTGCCTATGGGATATCTTGGGCTAGGTTGAATTTACCAATATGTATGTACTACCGAATGGGACCTCCAAAGATTTTTGAGGACCCTTTCTTATAAGACCTGAGGGTCCTGAGGATCTCTAAGGTAAGAAAATCAGCACAAATCAGCACAATCCCTGAACCATGAACGTATATCTACTTCCTGGTGCTGCTTTTGGCTTCTGTGATGAGTATAATTTCTTGCTGCTTTTGTTTTTGTTGTTGTCCTTCCTGGCCTAAAAACCCAAGTTCTTTCAGGGCATTTGCTCTTCACCTGTTTAATCTATCAGCCCAATCAATTCTGTAAAAAGAATAACCGCCTACATAAAGCAGTCTTAAATATGAATATCAGTGAAGTCAACTGATTTAGCCAATCAACTGACATGCCTCAGGTCTAATTTATGTTCGGAATAGGCCTATAATCAGGATCTCACATTGATGGTAAGTGTCAAGTTGGCAGGACCCAACATTCCACTTGGAGGCTTTACACCTCCAGAGACTTCAACAATCCCCAAATCTTCATAAGTGAACTTGCAATGCAGTTCTTGATCTTGCTCGATATTGCAAAGGTCCCCTGCAAATATAAAAAGTTCCACACACCGATCAATTTTTTCTTTCTCTATTCATATATCGAAAACTGGACTTCGGGCCTTGAAAGGTCAAAATCACCCAGGATTTGGATTTCGTGACAAAACGAACCCCCACTCATCACCCTTACCAGTGCGCGAACTCATCCTAAATCCACTGCAAAATGGCTCGCAAACGAAGATTGAGGCGTTGACGTTAGGTACTAGACAGTAAGCAACTAGGATAATCAAAAAACAAAAAAAAAGCAAAAATACAAAAATAGTTAGCTTTAAGAGGGTTAGGCCTACCCTAAAATTAAGGAACGCT